TATATGTGTGTGTGTGTAAAAAATATGCATAATATCTTTTATATATATATATATATATATATATATATATATATATATATATGTGTGTGTTTGTGTGTTTAAATATAAAATATTGCACAATGAGTGCTGGTGGTAATAAAAGTCCCCGATGAATTGTAAAACAACAGAACTAGAATTTATGCTACTAATTGTTCGGTACAACTCTGAGTTGCATTTTTTCATAATTTTACCAAACGATGAAAAAAAATGTTCATGTATTATTAATATATATATATATATATATATATATATATATATATATATATTTTGAACAGCAACCTTTCTTTCAAATTTCTTTCAAATGTTTCGTTGAATATGACAAACACGAAAAAATTCATGAAAATCTTCATTTGTTATATTCAACGAAATCTAATTATATAATCAATTGTTGGTATCTCCTGATGAGTAAACTGAGCGAGGTCCATTTACGAAACTCTTGAGTCGGGATGCTGCCGAAAATGACATCAATCTGCTATGTGACAAACTTTATATTATATTAATCATATATATATATATATATATATATATATATATATATATATATATATATATATATATATATATATATAAAGCGTGTACATGCAAATCATAAAAAACATACAGACTTATTTTATTTCTTTATAATTTCTTATGTATTATTATTTGTAAATACATACCTATACATTATTATCTATAATTGTGTGCGTCTAGAGATGGAAAAGTGTGTATACAACTAATTACCCACCCACCGACAGCGTAACTAAGGTGGAGCTGATTTGGTGGGATGCCTGCTTATCATTTTGGGTTGATCACAGATCTCACTCTAATCAAGTCCCAAGCAATGTCATGTTCGAAAAAAAAAGGGTAGTGAAAATTGTTTACTTTTAAAATACTATTATTTTAAAAGCAGAAACTAGCATATTTTGTAACAATCATGTGCTACACTTGGAATAATATTATAAATTTATAATTAAATTTTTTAACGTATGAATATTTCAGAGGAATATGCAAAATTAACTCAAAAAGACTATCAACACTCATATAATAAAAACAGAAGCTTCAGAAAGAAAACAAAATTCCAAAAATAAAATCTAAAATAAAATTAAAAAATTTACTGATGTAGTATAAAACAAATCACGAGGTATGAAATGAAGTTTTCAACCAGACACTTATTAAAACCCAAAACATTCGTCTTTGTCTCCCTTGAAAACAGATAAATACGAGACTTTGCAATAGGTCGTGGTAGGACAACTCAAAAATGTCAGTTCGTATACTCACATCTACGCCAATCGATTCACTTAATCCAAAGGCACTCATCGACAACTGAAAATTACATTGCAGCTTTTCTAAGTAAATACACTTCTTGTGCTTTCTTTTCTTCTGTGAAATGTAATGATATTTACTAAAATGTATGAACTATATCAGACACATATTCATTTTTACAAACATTTACTACATAAAGATACATCTACAAAAATCAACTTGCGTATACAAAACTTTTATTGCAAAATGGAAATAAATTGCGTTTTTAAATTTTCGTACAGTTATTATTGTAAATTTATTTATAATATTGTGAGCGTGACTAATGACCGAAGCCGCTATGCATTACACATTACTACTGTTGTTATATAGTTAGCAGTACTGCTATAAATCACAAAGCAGATACTTTTCAGTTGATATGTTATTACAACTCCTACTGATGCTACTACTGCTGCTGCTGTTGTTCTTGTTGCTACTGCTACAGCTGCGTCTATAATACATTTTGAATAGTTTTTGCTATTTAACGAATTCGGATTGATTCAATCCTATCCAGAAATATATAAATTAGCATTCAATTGCTTTGCCACAATTTATCCTGGCGACTAAGTAAAATAAAATACAAGGAAAATTATTCTATTTACTTGTTAATTAAAATTGGTAGTTTAAATACACCATTGAATTGTGTAAAAAATCTGCATGCGTTTTTGTAAAAGATAAAATATATGCAAGAATCAGGATAAAAAAGAAGCTTATGCGAGTAAAGCTGAAAAATCATGTTATTTGAAAAGTCTTCTTTGTTTCAAGATTTAGCGATTATGATAACTTTCTCATTAAATGGACAATTGAAGCTCAGTAACAATTAAAAATATTTGTAAGTAGTTTTTTATAAACAAAAGGTAAGGATGGAACTGAAAATAAAACTATCAGTTGAAATGTCTTTCCAACTGATTATGGCTGATATTAACACGCGAATTTATCAGTAAATAGCTGTTCAAACTACTACAACTACTACACAGGTAGCGAGTACCAGAGACTCAGCAGATGGATTTGCATCTAGCAAACATAAAGACTGAAAGCTGCAAATAATGGCATCAACTGTCCTCTCAGTGTTATGGTTGGTTAGAAATGTTCAAGTTAAACAGAAATATCAGCATTAATCTCGTCAAAAATATAATTCTGTAATTATTCTTTTTCTAGTTTCAAATCTAACAACAATTCTAGAGCTGTTATTACTTCAGTTGTTCCTACTGCTACTCAGCTACTATTAATAACACCATCGCAATGACAATAACTGCATTTTCGCAACAACCGCAACTAAAATCTTCAACCATTCGGAAGTACACATACCAGGATTACATTGAAAATAAAACCAACGGCGTATTTTATTCTGAAAACTGTTGGCAGGAGAATCAAAATAAGAATCTGATGAGAAATGGATTTTTCGTTGTTGCATCAGTCAAGGCCAGTGCAGTTATGAAAAGAGGTGGAAGCATTATCTCGGTTTCTAATCAGTTCTTAACACAGTGAATTCATACATCGGACCACATTACTCTTCAATGTGCATTTCTACACGTGTCTATCGAGAGATGTTTATAGTGCTTTTGGGGGTTTGCGTTCTTGTTAAAAACAGCCTCAAAGCGATTTCAAAAAAATGAATTTGATAGTGAAAAAATACATATTTTGGCCGTTCATACTGAGACAAGCAATATATTCCAATAACTGGCTTGATCCACATAAAACATGCGTTAAATAAGCCCAATGTTTTAACAAAGAGGCTTAGTTAGAAAACATGTCATCTGTAACTGCAACTACTACTAATATTAAAATAAACAAGGAAACAAACAAACAAGCAATGAAAATACCATTATATCTACCGTTGCATTTATCTTTTGTGCTAGTAAGAACACATTAAATATAAACATGTCTTCTCATAAGACTTTCCATTTTTACTTTTTTTAAATTGGTCAGTTTTTAAGAACACGAACCAGAATAAGAAAATGGTAATGTGCTTCCTCCTATTTATCATTAGTAGCTTCCTGTAAGTGGTACCAATAGATAATCCATCGATACAGTTCTAAACAAATAATCTATTGCTATGCATTCATTATATAAATATTTATGTTATCTTAAAAAATAGAAGACATAAACCTGCTTCATAAAAGCGAAAATATTTATCTGCCAACACTGTGTATGCGATGTGCATCAATTTATCTACTCTTTCCATCTTCTATTGTCTTTATCTCATGCAACAATACAGTCACTGTTATGTATATTTAAGTGATACCAATTGAATATTTGTCTACGAAATTGAAGAGCTGGGATCGTCCATGCTCTAAAAATCATAATAATCTCAAGCAGACATTCGGTACGAGTATTAAAAATTAATTCTATTTTAAACTCTTAAATATAGACTACTATTTTTGTAATCAATATTCAAGCCCAGAAATGCAATCGGTTTGTGGAGTTGCAGAGTTTGCTTTCTCACTTTACGTTTTCCGTTCTTTTTAAAAAAATTCTGTCGAATATTCAAAATTAAAAGTAACATTTAAAAATTTTTTCTAACCAACAAGTAATTTTCATACTCTTCCAATAATGTTAGCATGTTTCACGTGTAAAATTTCAATTCTGCATCTATTCACGTTTTAAAGGCAATTCAGTAATTAGTAGTTTCAAAATAGCATTAAATGTGCATAGGAAATAAGATATTTCCAGTGATGTTATTGAAATTTATTAGAGATTTGTTACAATATATAGAATTAGTATATTTATAGGAATGAGCAAATGCACTTATTCTCTAAATTCTAAATTCTGTTCCTAATTTCTATGCTATTTCAGTTTTGTTACCATTATAATTCACAAATGCTGCGTACGGTTATATACACACAATTACACGGGTGAATGAACGTGAAATCATGGCCACACAGTCAAAAATCAATCATATATCATTACGTGCCACTATTATTAATTTTACTACGTTATCAGGCGAATAACCAGAAACAGAACAAAAAAGAAGTGCCATAAAATTTTCCTCGGACAAATGTGCCATGTCAAGTATGGCCAGCAAGGAACGTCGTCACAGCAGCCATGAGACATGTTCTCGAATCTCCCTTAAGGAACATCAAGGTAGCTCGGTGATCGGTGCTCCAACAGCAGCATCTACGTCCCCTCCAACCATTAAATTTCACCATCACCACCACCACCACCATCACCATCATGTACCGTGTACTAACAAATCACAATCACAGCAGATGCAGCTTCATCACCATCTTCATCATCACCACCATCAGCAACAACAATTACATCATCAACAGCTACAACAAGCAACGCAGTTATTACATCACCATTCACAACAACCACCGCAAAACGTTCAGCTTGAACAACAGCTTGTCACATCAGCAAGAGATACGGAAAATACCTGTGAAAATTATGGGTGTGTAATTGATGGTGGTGGTGATGATGAGGGAGATTCTGTCGGTGGAATGGGGGCTGGTGGAGTCGGTGGAATAAATAGTAGTGGGGCAAATGGTAACAATAGCTCTAGTGGAGTGGGTCCAGGAAATGGCGCCGGAAATGATGGAACTAGGTCTTGTCTAGGAGATCCTCGCCAGGTGACAAGACTTGCATTTGGAGATTTCTTTCCAGATGGGGGCTGGGGCTGGGTTGTTGTTGCTGCTGTTGCTGTTGTAAACATATTCTGCTATGGATTTCATTTAGCCTATGGAATGTTAATTATTGAAGCTAAAATTAAATTCAACGATGTCCGAGAACTAGGTAAGTTGATATATTTATTCGTAACTTATTAAATTTAAGACGATTTCGATAAATACATTGTTATTAATTTGGTTTAACTTTATTGATTTGCTTTTTTTTATTCATTTTTTGAATGAAAAGATAATAGTTTGGTTAAACAGTATATAATTAGGTGCGACATATAATCTTGACGCTCTAAACTAATTAATAAAAAGTGAGAGTTGAAAGTAGATAGACGCTCTTCATTGGAACCTGCTTCAGTCTATTTGAAATGTTATTAAAATTTTTTTCTATTATCATGAATAGACATTTGCGGAAACCATAAAGTCATTTCTTATTGAAATTATGAAATTTTAAATATACAAAACCTTGGTTAAATGTATTTATTTAAGTATTGCCACTGACTTCCTAAAAACCCAAAAATATATTTTAAATGATTTAAATGTCTTCTTAACTTAAATTTTGTTTTATTTGAAAGATAATAACCTAAAGCTAATCTGAAGTAAAAGAAAAATTACTTTTTTATATACATACAATTTATAGGCATTTTAAAACATTGGCACTCATCAAACTGCCATTATAGATGAACAATGCAAACAACAAATTTAAAAATCTCTTATAAATCCAAAATTTATTATAAAGATGTGTTTTGAAGTAAATTAATAAATCCGAGGATTAATTAACTGAATTTTTTAAATGTAATACTTTGTGTTTAAAATATAACTAAAACAACGTTTATTTACGTACTATAGTCTTTGAGGTCAGAGGTTATCAACTATATCTCTTCCAATCCCTCTCTTAAAAAGCGCGCTAAAAAATTAAAAAATATTAAAAGAAATACAGAACACTAGCATTATGACATTTGTATGTATGTCTAAAAAGAAATTACCTTTAACCTTATGACATTTGTATGTATGTCTAAAAATAAATTACCTTTAACCTTATATAACCAATAGTTTAAAAATATAATTTTTTAATCTACACGAATTTATGAAGCTTAATAGAAATTGCATTTTTATACCTCTTTTTATTAGTTAATTGATACTTTTGAGTTTAATACACTGATTTTAATTTCATAAAATATACAATTGCATCCAATGTAGTGTTTTTAATTATTATAAATTTAAAAAATTTATTAAATTATCATATGTCATATTAATCTTTCGATAGTGAAAAGTAGTCAAAAGGCAGTAATTCAGAATTATTTCCTTTTTGAACATCCATACAAAAAAATCTAACAGTTACTAAACTGAAAAAAAAAAAAAAAAAAACTAAAGTTCTTTAAATTTATTTTTTGACTTTTCTTGAATTATTTTTTGTAAGATTCGGGATTAATTTTCCGTATTTTCACACGGGGACAATTCTTTTACTGAAATAACATATTCAGGGATTTTTCTTTATATAGCTGTAAAAAAAAATTACAAATGGAAAAAGTACACACGAGATATCTAAGGGTGGGGTGAAACAGCCCCCACCCAGTATTTTTACATTTTTTTTTAAAATAAAATAATCTATTCGGTATACAATTCATTCATTATTGAATAAGTATTGGAAATTTTGTTGGAATCGGATAACTTCCTGGTTTGGGGAAAAAGTTTTAAAACGGAGTAGCGATTTTTTGCTTTCATTTCGGGAAAAAAACGCACCCAATTTTGGTGGTACCTAAAAGTAACCATTGCCTTCTAACTAAAATAACATAACTGACATAAAATTAGAATATGTATTATTTAAATAATTTAAAAACTGATTGCTCATACGACGGTACAAATACAGATTCTTGGCATCTTGTATTAAACGAAATGCCAAGAATTTGTATTTGTACCGCCGTATATGCTCATGCCAGTACGAAGATGTCAATGATATCGGACAAGTTAATCAATCGATTATAGAATGAAAAAAATAAAACTAAACTTTAACATAGTATTGTTTGTTCATTAATATTGCTTTGTTATTCAAAAGCTTTCATTATATCAAAGAAGAGTTGTAACTGCGTTGGATAACAAAGAATATCCTGAAATTATTCACGGCTAACATTTACAAAAATAATTATTTAAGTAGTGACAATGAGTTTGGTATTGACATTGGAAGTTAACTGCCAAAATAATCGCTGAAGATCGAAATAAATGTCAATTTATTAAAAAGTGGGAGTCAACAAAACTATTACAAAATCAAATTTTATTATCATATTACTGAAGTACTCTTAAGTTAGCCCTTTTGACGAAAATCATATATTAAAATTCGGATCTGTTCAAACATGAAAAATATTGTTTTTCCAAGAGGAGAGAAAATTAAATATTTAAAATGGAAACAAGAGCGTGAACATTTAAGTCCTACTAACAAATTACATTTTAGTTTAAAATATCACCATTTAACAGTTTTTTATTGACAACTTTGTTCTCTTGGACAAAATAATTTAAAAATGTATTATGACAATGCGAAATGCATTTCTAATACATCCTATTAGTATATATATAAAATCAAATTACAATAACAACAAACTTCAGTGTGTGCGGGTATAATCCAATATATATATGGAATTAGTTTTTATTATCAGTAAAATCGCTAAAATCGTCTATATTGATAAATCTGTCAACACAGTATAATTCTATTTATTGAAAAAAATGTTTTAAAAATTTTCATGAGGTGTTGACAACTTTATCGCTAGAATTGGTAATTTGGTAATTTTTTCAAAATTATTACATAACTGTAAGAATTAATTAAATATAACGTGATCGCCTTATATATATTTTTAAACTACCCAGTAATCTTTAAAAATTAAGAAAATATTCTAAGTAATCTAATATTTTATTGATTATTAGATATTTTGGCTTTATAGTCTAAATTACGAAGACGCGTGTTGAAGAAATGTTAGAAAATTACTAATATTAATAATCTCAGGGATTAAAATAAACTAAAATACAAAAATTCCAGGAATGTATTAATTGTAAAAACAACTGCTACTCCAGAGATCTTCCATTACACGATGACAAAATCAAGAATGTCCCCTCTATCAATTAGGTACTAGATAAAAAAAGGTCAATTATCTAGAGACACAGAATTTAAACAAATATTATTATGATAATATGCAAGAAAGCAAGGGAATCATTGAGAGAAATGAAGTATCTTCTCAGATTACATATGGATTTCTCACAGGCCTGGATAACTCATGTATCCACATGTCAAGAAAACAATGGCCATATAAAAGCAGAAATTCTCCAGAAGAATTATTTATTTATATAAAAAAGCAGTAAAACGTTTCGATTTGATATCATGCAATTCGAAGTGTGAACGGCCGGGAAAAAATGGAAAAAGACAATAAGACTGTGCCACATGGCAGTAACCTGGAGCATCTTTTAGCTTATAAATATAACCCCCAAAATGGTACCTTGCAAATCTCAAACACGAAGATGGATCTCTAAAATGGCGTGTTGTCACAAACAGTAATTTTTTATGCTCTGTCTCTTTACATCTCTATTGACGGTCAAAGCCACTTGTGTCCCGGGGTATTTCTTTGGAAAGCATTTCAACAAAAGTTACAATATTGGATTTCTAGGCCTGAGTGTTTAAATGAACACCAACTAATCTGGTTTGCTAGCAGCCTTGACTTGCTTAAGTACAAAAAATAAAGACAATGAATTTCACGGTGATTGTTTCCGATGCAAAATTAGAACACATAATACCCTTTGAACGATTTTCCAAGTTGTCGAAGCTGAACAGAGTAATAGCGCAACTTTAATAAAATTAATGCTAACAGGCTTTTGGGTACCCCAAACGAGAAGCTATGAAAAGTGTAATATCAAAATGCGTTATGTATGAGAAATTTATAATTTATCATTCAAATATCCTAAATTTACGAAACTACCTGCGCATAGACTGGAATACACTGAGCATGAATGGGTCAAGCAAAATAGGAATTGTAAAAAAAAAGACGTACATATTGACATTTACTTTTTTAATATAAGGACAATACACAGAGCTGGTGGAAGACATGAATGACTAAATTTGCCCAAGCGTTAATAAGATTTACGAATATATACAGAATACCTTCTTACATATACAGTGACAAATCCTTTAACGCACAGAGAGGTGATATAGTGGAGCATCATGTACATTGTACAGACTTTGATAAAGAATTTAAGTCACAAAATCAAGTGTGTTAAAATACTCTTATACTTGTTTCGATGTCTTCTAGTCTGTGACGTTGCAGTTCTTCTCTCGAGTCAAATGATGACTGACTTAGTCGCTTGACGCTATGCAAAATAGGGCCTATGCCACTACAATACTCACTTTGGGTAGGGAGCACTTGGCAATGGCTGATCCGAGTAAAAATAATGTCTACATAAAAGTACTTGTCATTCTTAACCCCTTCCCGCCAATTATTTTGGGAAAAAAAGTTTCAGACGAACTGTTTTATTTGTTTTTAATATAGTAACTAAGAAACTGAGGCAGACATAAGAGCAGGCATAAGAGTTGATAATTGGACTCTTTTCAAGCTCAGAAGGGCATACAATGCATCAAGATCGACGTATAAACACGTCTGGAGCTGTTATTTTAACATGTTTTGAGCGGGTTATCTGAAAAAGACACTGTCGGTAAAAAACATTTATACATATTCATGCCGGGGAGGGGTTAAATAAAATATTTTGATCTTGTATGTTCAAGAATTGAGAAGTTCGTGACAAAATGTAGGAGGATTTGCAATTTTCTCAAATAAGTTGGATTTCTGAAATGAAATCAAATTGAATAATGTTATCCTTATAAAAAATTCCTTTTAAGCCTAGACATTATTGATAACTTAGAAGAGTAATCGAACTCTTTCTCGGGACGATAACAACATTCTTTCTGCTCGCGTCAATAGAGGTAACAGATTGATGGAAACCCATTGAACCAAACACTTATATACTTTGGAATCATCCCTGATGCATGATTATCATCTTGTCCCTGAACCAGAGGAAGTATAAGGTTACTGACAAAGATGCCAACATCTAGTTTTTTGATTTCTAAACGTGTCGCTTTCCTCC